CCAAAACAACATCAACTGACTCAACTTTACTCCAAACCGAATCAAACACATCATTATGGACCTTTTTTTATCACCAACAAATTGAATCAAATTAATACTATTCTACTTACCCAACCTTCACCAGTTCCGTTCAATGGACCTAACCTCTTAACTGTGTCAACCCTAACGCATCTGACATTAACCCAAACTAACCTGATCTAAAAATAAAAATAACTTAACACAATATTTATTTCAGTTATAAAATAACTGAACACATTATGCTGAAAACTTGAGCATAATTTACAAATCGAATTACAGGATTTGAATAAACATACTGTATTACCTAACAAAACCCAGTTGATATTCCGCATAACGAATTATCCGAGTCATAGCATGCCTCAAGAAAAATCGCAGTCATAACAAGCCTATCCTGTACTTTCCTGTTATCTCAGTACCTACTTTCCTGTTATCTCTGTACCTTCCCTCTGACCAATTCAAACTGACCTAACCTAACTTCACCTAACTGGCTCCCAAAATCAGTTTCAGCAGAATGCGAAAAATAAAATTCAGTTTCTGGTAGGTTGTTGTGATTACGAACTTGTCCTAAAGATTTGTCTGGATGGTAGTGTGGTCTAGGAATGAGGTACTGAGATAACAGGAAAGTACCGCCTATCCTTTGTTGCCTTGAAAATTAGCGCCCAGAGCCCTAACATATTCCATGATCCTAAGTTTCCGTGAATTTTCTGAATTTTCTAGCAAATTTTCAGCTCTCATAATGATGAAAACAACATCTAAAACTGCGCGGGTCTAAGAAAAACCTCTTGTGTACCCTTTTTTTTTTATAGGGTACCCTATCTAAAATGTGTGAACGTTTCTTCAGAAGAAAAAGGGGAAGTGTGCCCCCTTTTTTCCGGTGACCTGACTTTGTTTTTTGAGTCGAGCTTTATCTTCCCCGGAAGGTGGTGTGCTCTAGTCTAGTAGTATACTTCTGTAGGTAGGGGGGGAACAAACACCAGGTGCCTGTTGAGGGAGAGAGAGAGAAAAAAAAACACTGGTGCTATTTGGAAGAGAGACTCTCGCACACCTGGTAATTTTTCCTCAGTGCGATGTGCGAAAAGACTCTTCCTCACGTTGTCGACGAAAATCTGCAGTCAGTCGCATTGGCATCCACGGTTATTTTATTTTTTTTGTGGGTGTTCTTCATGTTAACTTTTTCAGCATTCATCATCGATTTTTTTTTATCCTTCCGTCCGCTTTATTGATTGGAAGAAGAAGGAGGAGGAGGAGGGAATGCGCTAATGATTAATTTAATGCGGCGTGAAGAGGATTAGTGTTTGATGGATTGGCGGTGTGTGACCTGAATCCGCCGGCTATTCCTGGATTTCAGAGGTGGTTCTTCTTTTTTCCGTTCGTTTGTTTTGTTTCAAGGGAGTTTTTGCTCAAGTTGTTCAGGTGTGTATATATCCAGCAGTTCCGAGTATTTTTGCGGGAATGGACGACGTGTTCTTTGGTGTGTTCTGTGCTGGTGCGTCATCCACCAAGTCGGGTGGGTGTTCGGAGTGTTTTTTTTTCTTTCAGTGTGTGAATAATCATCGCATTGTGAAGATATAATATTTTTTTTAATTTTGGGGTTTTTGTTCTGGGTTAGGCTTCATGGGGAAAATGGGCTTAGGGGGTATATTTTGGTCTCGTGCGAAGATTCTATTTGTAGTGGTTTTGGAGTGTTCTCATTTTCAGTGCGTGGATGATCATCGCCTAGTGAAAATATGTTCTTTTTTATTTTTTGATTTTTTTGAAGATTTCAAGGTGAATTTTCATCTCCTCATCCAAAGATTTTTTTCTTCAAGAATATCAATTTTACATACAATATCAGTCCATCTTGAGTCATGACGATGTTATTCCCAACGCTTGTAATACAGTTTATTCTGGAAAAAGTTGGGAGAAGGTAGTTTTTTCTAATGACCTTCATCCCAGGTATGTACAATACAGTATCTTAAAAATTGAGGTGTTGAATTGAGCGTAAGTCTTGCCAAAATAATCTGATTTTTAGATGTTTTTTTAAATGAATTTCTCATTCGAAAGTTCAGGGAATGGAGTGAGCTGTTCATCTTTGATTCATTCATATTCATCTTGACTAGATTTTCTTAATGGAGTGATTTTCTATGGGTTTTTCATGTTGAAGTCGCTTTATTGTGGGAATTTTAAGTTATCTCAAGTTGATTTAATTTCAGCAGACGGTAAGGTGGAATTTTTTTTCATAATTCATGAACCTAACTCTTGACATCCTTTCTTACTTCATTCGTGTAGAAAATGATTTCTTTGAACAGTGTGGAAATCAGTTTATTGGTTTAAATGGTTTAGCTCTTGAAGGGATGGATTAATGAATTTTGAAACTTTGAGCGCTCTAGTGAATATTCATGTTCGAAGTACTTGCGTACAGGTTTTAAATGAAGAAACTTCTGTGCCTCATCCACGATGAAAAATCGTTTCTCAAGCGTTAGCTTTTCCGGGCTATTTTTATGGTTAATATTTTAGACGTGCTTATTTAATCACTTTTTTGTTCATCGCAGTGTTGAGGATATGAGTGCATTCTGATTCTGATTCCTTAAAATATTCCAATTTTCTTTTCAGGGAAGAAGTGAAAATTTAGTGTAGGGTCAAGATGCAGAATGCGAAGAGAGTGTTCTTTGTGTTCGTGTACACGGCTTGTTTTGCTACGATGATCGTTTTCAATTATTTTGCTACCAGACCAGATGGTGAGTCGAACTACGTAAACATAAACACTGCGCCTTTTCTGGGCTATTTTCAAATTTTGGAAAAATATATTGATGTTGATCCAGAAGAATCATGAAATAATGGAAGCCATTCAAGAATGGCTTAGTGAATTTTTGCGGATAAATCAACTTTTTAAAACATGGTTTTAGAATGGCCATGAAGTATACAGGTAGAAGAGCAAATAAGAGGGAAGCTGAAATGCTATGCATATACTGTACTGTACACAAAGGCAGTAATTGTTCAATGTCAATATATACTGTTCACTTATGTTCACGTGTATGTCAACGGCCATACCACGTTGAAAGTACCCGTTCTCGTTCGATCACGGCAGTTAAGCAACGTTGGGCCCGGTTAGTACTTGGATGGGAGACCGCCTGGGAACACCGGGTGCTGTTGACTTTTTCAAAAATTTCTTTTCATTTCAAGCGTATCAACTGGTTCTCCTTCTGTATCCCTTCTGTTTTTTTTTTTTTATCCTCTGCAAAGTTTTGCCTGAAGCTATTATCGTGCCGAATACATTCTCATGCGAGCAAAAACATTTGCAGCATTTTTAATGGAAGTATTCTGAAACAGCTAATGTTCATACTACAGTACTTTCAAGACCGTTATGCCGTATAGGTTTCATTATACTACAGTAGAAGAAAATTACGGACTCTCTCTGCTTGTACTTGGGGCTGCAGATGGTAATCACAGTTCAGTTCATAAAATAAGTCAGGAATGAGAAACTTTAAATTGCAGACCAGAAGAGTGTTTGAATTGAACATTTTTGATTCCCTCAAAGAATGGTGATCAAATTTTCATGGGTAGATCTTGAATAATAAGAAGAAAACGAAAGCGTATACAGTAGAAGGGGAAGCAGAAAGCTATTTGGATGCGAAGAAGTTTTTGTATGTGCCGATGTACTGTTGACTCTTGGAGTAATGTATGTCAATGGCCATACCACGTTGAAAGCACCCGTTCTCGTTCGATCACGGCAGTTAAGCAACGTTGGGCCCGGTTAGTACTTGGATGGGAGACCGCCTGGGAACACCGGGTGCTGTTGACTTTTTCAAAAATTTTCAATTGAGTTTTAGGCGTAAATAAACTGGTTCTTGTTTTGTATCCCTTTTGTTTTTTTTTCTCTGGTTATTTTCCAATTTTTGAAATATATATTGATGCTGATTTTTTCATTCAATATAGGAACATTATTCAAGAACCAAACGGGGAAAATCGCGGATAAATATCCGACTTTCGTCACACCGATTGGTTGGACCTTTGCTATTTGGGGCGTCATTTACATCTGGCTGGTTCTTGTCCTACTGTACAGTGAGTTGGAATTTGAAAATCATTTTTTTGGCATCGCATTGGAATTAAATAAATTTTTCTAAATCAAATTCTGCTTTAAAAAAAAGCATTCAACTTTTTAAAATTTGATGGCAAAACTTATTATGAGCAATTTCTTTTCTTTTCTCTGTGAGAATGGGTTCATGACCATGTTGAATGAATATTTGTTCAATTTAACTCAACAGTGTGTTCTTTCTACTTCTCCTAAATCATTTGATTTTCAATAGACAGTATTTTTGTTTAAATACACCATGAGCAATTGAAGCATTTGGAACAATTGAAGTGAAGTCAACTTTGATTCTGTGGCATCAATTGTCCTGACGCATTTCGTGGCACTGAATTCAACTTAATGCATGGGAGAAAGGTTCAGTTGATGGTTTTTATTGTTGGCAAGATAAGCTTTTTCACAGAATTATTTGTCAACTGAGTCTATTCTATGTGAGAGAAAGTCGAAAGAAATATTTTAAAACTCAATTACACTGTTTTGTATCCTGTACTGTATTTCAGTATACAGTATTTAATTCAGAATGCAATACTGTAGTTTTACTCACAGTACTCTTATTCTTTGATCCTTGGAGTTGATCCTGGGTCACTGATTTGACAGAAAAAAATGAAATCATTAAAATCAAACTAGCATGAATTGAGCGGAATAAACCGTGATGATTTTCGGGCGACATCTGTGTCGTCGAGGGGAAAATCTTGGAGTCTGGGACGCATGTCTCTAATAATAGGGAAATAGTGTATTACTGTACACTACTGTGCTGTGTTCTTTTGCGGATTGTTAAGGGTGTAAGAGTGTAAAGTCTGGAACTTTTAAATTAGAAAAGTAAATTAAACGTCATAAGCGGTGAAAGACAGCGTCGTTACCATGGTTCTGACACATACTTCTTCGACGACAGTGAGTAGGGAAGAAAGACCAAAGCATGTCTGCCAACTTTTTGTTCAACGCTGCCTGGTTGATTCTATGGGACCGGGAGCTGATTCACGCTGCATCTGGGTGCTTGTGGGCAATGACAATCTGTTCACTGGCTGCAGCTAGTTTCAATTATCTCAGGTGAGACTCGAACTCATGCCAATTGAAAGGGATTCTTTTCAGATCTTTTCAGATTTGTATGCAAATGTTTTTTCCCCTCCATGCTCGGCTAATTAAATTATACTGTGTAATACAGGCAAAATCTCATACAAGACATTTCCATGGACCATAAAATAAATGGGTCCTTCATTTTGGTAGATTAATGAGTGGAAATTATTTTCTAGCCATATTAGTAGATCTTTCAATTATTCTTAGAGCTTTCAACTCCAGGAAGATGGCCAATACTTTGTGGAGAGAGCCTGAAAATTTTATTTTTTGCTTTCTGGAACAGGCTTTCTAAAATGTAGCCTCAGTTGAATTACAAAATAACAAAACGTTTTGACACTGGGAGGTTTCACGGACGAATTATTTAGTTTGGAAGGATAACTTCGTATGGGACTTCAGAAATCAGCCAGGGAATAACTGAAATTTTAAATTACGGTGGTACTTTACTTTCATGAGGGAGATTTGGATTGAAAGGGCCCATTGTGTTCTTTAAAAAAATTATTCCATGGGGACCTTCCATAAAATTGAAGAATATTTTCTTATAAAAATTGTTGGCCATATCTGAAAATTATCCAGCAAAACAATGAAATACAGTACTCCAGTCATGGCTTGGTGAATTTTTGCGGATGAATCAACTTTCAAGAACATAGTTTTAGAACGACCATGAAGATCACTGCAGGCTGGAGATAAAATGAGAGAGCGGAAGCTGAGCATAAAACGCAGCTATTATTGAATATGCACATATACTGTTCACTGTTGGTATGGCGTATGTCAACGGCCATACCACGTTGAAAGCACCCGTTCTCGTTCGATCACGGCAGTTAAGCAACGTTGGGCCCGGTTAGTACTTGGATGGGAGACCGCCTGGGAACACCGGGTGCTGTTGACTTTTTCAAAAATTTATTTTCATTTCAAGCGTAAATCAACTGGTTCTTGTTTTGTATCCCTCCTGTTTTTTTTTTCAATCCTCTGCAAAGTTATTATCGTGCCGGATCCATGCTCCTGCGAGCAAAAACATTTGCAGCATTTTTAATTGAAGTTTTCTGGAACAACTAATGTTCATGCAACTTTCAGGACCGTTATGCCGTATACTGGCGTATAGGTTTCAGTATACTGCAGTTGATGAGAATTACGGACACAGGACACTCTCTGCTTGTACTTGGGGATGCGGATGGTAATCATAGTTCAGTTCATAAAATTGCAGTAGTTAGGAATACTGATGAGAAACATTAAATTGCAGACCAGCGTGTGAATCGAACATTTTTGATTCCCTCGAAGAATGATGATCAAATTTTCATGGGTAGTTCTTGAATAATGAGAAGAAAACGAAAGCGTATACAGTAGGAGGGGAAGCAGAAAGCTATTTGGAAGCAAAGAAGTTTTTGTATGTGTCCATCTACTGTTGACCCTTGGAGAAGTGTACGTCAACGGCCATACCACGTTGAAAGCACCCGTTCTCGTTCGATCACGGCAGCTAAGCAACGTTGGGCCCGGTTAGTACTTGGATGGGAGACCGCCTGGGAACACCGTGTACTGTTGACTTTTATTGGTTTTTATTGCATATTTCAGCAAAATCCTGGGCTTACGTTTCCCAGCATAATACAACAAATGCGAAACTGATGCAGGAGGTTTCACCATTAAAAAGCCTCTGACGGAGTTCATATCTTCACACACAAAAAAAACATAACCCACAAAATCGTGTTCTCTTATTCTTTTTCTTCACATGTTCCTTCTTTTTAGTTCACACTGTGACAAGATTTCTATAAAATTAAATCTGCAATGCTTCCGCAAGGATCCTTGAAAAAATGTATTGCAATTAATAATGTTTTCAATGTGATTCCTCTGGTAGAATCAAAAACCAAGGAGGGTACACGCAACGTCTTCTTATAAATTCTAACAGGAAAAAAGGAAGTTAAAGGGGTAAACATGTACCCGTTTTCCTGGATATGCTGTTGATTAGGGCCAGCACACATCACAAAAATGTTGCCAGGATGTTTACATAAGTTTCCAAAGTTAACCGAAAGCTCTCATAAGGATGCTACCAATACATTTCTTACATTTACTCATACCTCTTAGTGGTTCAACAATTTTCACATTCAATTTTTCAGGCGAGGGGAAGATTATGAAATTAAATGTAAATGTGTCAGTGTAGCGCTTATTTATTCATCTTTGACAAAAAACATTTCAATTATATCTAAACTTCTTTCATATTTTTTTTCTTTTCTTTGGAATATGAGGGGAATAGGACATGATTTGGCCAATAGATGATTCAATTGACAAACCTTTCTCAGGAATGAGTTATTTCAACAATTTCCACATTTAATTTTGCATGCAAAGGGAAGATTATGAAATTTAATGTAGATTTGTCAGTGTAGCGCTTATTTATTCATCTTTGACAAAAAACTTTCAATTATATCTAAACTTCTTTCACATTTTTTTTTCTTTTCTTTGGAATATGAGGGGAATAGGGCATGGCATGATGTGACCAACAGATGATTCAATTGACAAACCTTTCTCAGGAATGATTTAATTTTGTTTTGCCCCTAAACCCCCACTGTACTGTGCTTGGTTAAAAGAACTTTTGAATTATGGATATAAGTCCATTAACCGAGGCACGTCTTTTGTTTCTATATAGGGTGTACAAGCAAGGCTTCGACCTGAATCTCTACAAGCCCAGTGAGTTGTGGCTCAACAGACTGCTGGTGCAAAACGGGCTCGAGGTGTACGTGACCTGGACCCTCATCGCATCCTTTGTCAACTCCGTGGTAGCTGTGCAATATCCACCCCAAGGTTACACGGCTGCTGACCCTAAAATGGCCGCTCTCATCGCTCTTGCGGTTCTGGCTGGGCTCTTTGTGCTCTGGTTCCCGTTTGAGATTTCCGTGTTTGACAAGTATTGCCGCTACGCCGTGACGCAATATGCGGGTGAGTGAGAAAATTTGGGTTCATTTTATTTTTTTGCTCGCTGTTTTTCTTTGGGAAGTAAATTTGTAAAAAGTACAGTGAGACGTCTCAAGATGTGGACGTAATGGGTGCATCAAGAGTGTCTTCATGTTGGAATGTCCCCAAGTCAAGTTTAATTTTCCATTAGACTTCAATGCTAATGTATTTAATTTTTTTATTTTTTGATGTCAAAAATTAGGTGTATGTCCTCAAAGTTCTCAAAAAATTTGATAAACATTTTTTCCCTCAACTTCAAGTTGTAGAGAACAACAGTGCGGGATCAAACCACATAGAATATGATTTTTTGGTATCAAAAGAAGATCAAAAAGCAAATAAAAAGAATAAGGCTTGCTAGAATATGCACAGATGATAGAGAACAGCTCTGAAAAAAGAAGCACAAAATCAGCTTACTTTTGATTATGAATTACAAGTGAATTTATCATGAAATATTTTTTCAGTGTTTTTGAATATAAATAGCTTGATTTCTTCAAAAGATATCAAAATGAAAAAAAGTTTCAATTTTTGGGAACATTTCAGAAAAGTGTCCCTAACTTGAGCCAATGCCTGGATATTGGGCCTGACTTCTTTGGTTTTCAAGTGGCCCTAAGTCAAATGGTCTGCTTATTGTGTTCACACTTCAGTAGAAGAAAAGAAAAAAGAAACCTGGGATGATGAGTGTTGGAAGGTTTGGGATGAGGAAGGTGGCAATTGTAGCTGGTCCTTTTTGTGCTCTGCTCTGGCGAATTGTTTGGATTCCATCTGCAATTGGATTCCGTCTGCCGTCGGCATTTATACCCCGGGGGAAACGATTATTTTTACGCATGTTGAAGATAAATTGGCTGCGTATATATTAGTGATAATAATTTATTTAAATTTAATCTTGGGGATTCCTTTTTATTTCAGACCGATTCAATACTCAGTTTAAATTTCTAGCGGTGAATTTATTTTTCCTCGAATTGACTTTGGACGATTATCTTTTACCCTGGGGGTTGCTGCCCAGATGTTCCCCAATGATTGAAGCTATAATTGGACATTTTGTATTATCCTGTCAATTTAGTGACGAAGATGTCCACGATCATGGTTACGGCTTATTGAATTTTCCTGGATCAATCCTGTTCACAAACTGTAAATTATTCTTCGATTTTATAGAATAACGAAGGGCAAATAATTCCGTAGAAGATAAAAGGTCATGGGGAGGCAACAGAGAGAACATTTAAGAAATGTCATTGTATACTGTTTATTCACGCGTTGGAGTTTGTCAACGGCCATACCACGTTGAAAGCACCCGTTCTCGTTCGATCACGGCAGTTAAGCAACGTTGGGCCCGGTTAGTACTTGGATGGGAGACCGCCTGGGAACACCGGTTGCTGTTGACTTTTTCAAAAATTTATTTTTATTTGAAGCGTAAATCAACTGGTTCTCTTTTTGTATCCCTTCTGTTTTTTTTAATCCTCTGCAAAGTTTTGCCTGAAGTTATTATCGTGCTGAATACATTCTCATGCGAGCAAAAACATTTGCAGCATTTTTAATGGAAGTATTCTGAAGCAACTAATGTTCATACTACAGTACTTTCAAGACCGTTATGCCGTATAGGTTTCATTATACTACAGTAGAAGAAAATTACGGACTCTCTCTGCTTGTACTTTGGGCTGCAGATGGTAATCACAGTTCAGTTCATAAAATAAGTCAGGAATGAGAACTTTAAATTGCAGACCAGAAGAGTGTTTGAATTGAACATTTTTGATTCCCTCAAAGAATGGTGATCAAATTTTCATGGGTAGTTCTTGAATAATGAGAAAAAAACGAGAGCGTATACAGTAGAAGGGGAAGCAGAATGCTATATGGAATCAAGGAAATTTTTGAATGTGTCGATGTACTGTTGACTCTTGGAATAATGTACGTCAACGGCCATACCACGTTGAAAGCACCCGTTCTCGTTCGATCACGGCAGTTAAGCAACGTTGGGCCCGGTCAGTACTTGGATGGGAGACCGCCTGGGAACACCGGGTGCAGTTGACTTTTTGAAAAATTGTCAATTGATTTTTAAGCGTAACTAAAGTGACTCGTGTAAATTCCGTAGGTATTCATTGAGTTCTCTTCAGGGTTCCACCTGAAATTATTATTGTGCTGCATGAAATGTTGAAATTCCTACAGAAGCACAAGTGTTTTTCATCACCTTCTATTCAAGTTTTCTGAGAAAAACTTCATGCAGCATGCTATCCCGCTATGCTGCGTAGGTTGCCTTATATTGGATGAAAATCAAGAACCTACTCTTCCTTGACTTGGGCCTGCGGATGAAACTTACATTCATAAAATTAGTCAGGACTCGATCAGAAGCACTGTTTCAAAAAATTCAAGTTGCAGACCAAGCGTGTTAATTGAACATGTTTTATTTCCGTCGAATGCTGATAACAATTCCCATTGTTGTTTCTTAAATGCGAAAGAAAAACGAGGACCGAATGGATATATATAAGGTGGAAGCTAAAACCACATGCTGAGGAGAGGGAGACAAGGTTGTTGAATATGTTCATGTACTGGTGACTATGGCCCTTGTGTATGTCAACGGCCATACCACGTTGAAAGCACCCGTTCTCGTTCGATCACGGCAGTTAAGCAACGTTGGGCCCGGTTAGTACTTGTATGGGAGACCGCCTGGGAACACCGGGTGCTGTTGACTTTTTGTTTGTCTTTCTTTCGTTTGAAAAACGGAATTTGAGCTGTTCGTGTATATCCTCCTATTATTTTACTGAGTAATTCTTTCCAGGTTTCACGTTAACCTGAAATTTTTATCAAGCCGTATACAATCTGCTTATTTCTCTGTTACTGCGAATTACGAAGATTATTTTTCTCCTAATTTTTTTTTAACTGAAAGTTTATATTATATATTTTTTCAATTCATTGCTACAAGTGATACATGAGATGTTTCGTCAGTCTTCTCATCTTGTGCTTTGATTTTCCGAGTTTTTCTTTTGCAGAACGATGATGTATATACCTATCCTATAATACTGTACTGTATTCCTCTTCTTAATTTCTGCATTGATGTTACAATTTTTGTGTAACCATAGGTCATAATGAAGAGTGAAGAATCAAAATCAATTTGGAAGACCAGAGGGGATTTTTGTGCAATTAATTTTCATTTTTAAGTAATTGATTTCAGAGCGTTTTTGAACGACGAGAGTTCTGTCAATCTTCCTCAGGAAAGTTGAAATTCTCTGCTTCGGGAATTTTCGTCCGGTTCTATTGCGGCCGAATTCGATGCTTTTTTGCCACGTTCAAAGCTAATATATATATATTTATATTTGCTATTCGTTGACATATTTCGAAAGAAAGAGGAAAAAATCGCTCGATTTTAATGCCTAATTTTTGTTCATTCGTTTGTTGCAGTTATTCCATTCGCAATGGGCGGCATCTATGCGAGGAAGGACACAATCAACATCCCAGAAATCGAGTACCTCGTCCTGGCATTCGGAATCGCTGGTCTAGCCATGCTGTTGATCAAGTTGTTCCTCTTGGTTTACAGGAGCAAGCACAATCCACTCTTTCCACCCATCAGAGGCTGATTATATTAATTATCATGATTTTTATGTTAGTACAGTATCTTCTCGTCACGTTCTTTTTTTTTTTTAAAGTAAGACCTGGTATTTTCTGTGGACGTGGCAGGGGGACGGAAAGGCTTTTGAGACGCACCAGTGTTTTATTTACATGACTTGTTGTTGAATGTTTCATGTGTACGATAACGATTTCACGGGGACGCTTGACTGATTTGCTGCTAATTATATATTCGCCTGGTTATGCTTTCTAATACTACCGTATTTACTAGATTACCACGCCCCCTCAAGCAAGGCGCGCACAGGGGTTTTTCAGTTGGAAATTTTTCTAAAATCTTATCCCCAAGTAAGACGCGCACCCCAATTTTCAGTGAATCTGAAACCACAAAATTTCGAAAATAAAAACAAAGAATTGACTTTAGACATGAATTCAACAAAAATCTGATCAATTTTCAACTGTTTCAGTACAAAATAGTTTTTTTGTTACATTTGTTCCAAATTTCTCCATTATCATCAAGTATAATGCACACATAACTTCCTAAAACTTCTTGGAAAATTTGTACCCACTTATGACGCGCACCCCTTTATTTTCTTCTGAAATTCGAGAAAAAAGGTGCACATGGTTTTTGAGTAAATATGGTATATAATGAGCGTTTTGCAAAATTTTTCAAGTGTACAATTCGGGAAGCTGTGTTGAAAGAGTCATGTTTTCTAGGTCAGGGCTTTTCAATTAATTTGTGTGTGTGTGTTTGAGGATTTGACATCTTCAAGAAATGCCATCAGTGTTGAGATCAAATGTCTTTTGGGGCGTCACGACGTTGCCTGGTTTTAGTACAACATGTGTGAGAAGTGATTTCTCTGGCTATATGTGGGATTTTTACTGTGATTTTGAAGCATTTTTCTTTTCTTCTTGAGTTAAAGCTGCACAAGTTGTTTATTAATTAATATTAAAGATTTTGCAATGCTGGTGAAATTTCGTTTTAACGAATTATTCACATGACGAATTTTCTTGAATTTATTGCAAAAAATCGATTCTTGGGGAGGGTTTTTAATTTTTCCGCTCGAAATCAATGAAATTTTAAATGTTGCCCTCAATTTCTCTTTTTTTTTCTTCTAGGGGAGCAATTCTGAATGAATTTTCGCAGCAATAAAATTTTCTGCTGAAAATAACCTCAGATTACGTCAACTATAAGAACTGAAAATACGGCCAGAAGAAATTCGGTGTAAAGAAATTAATTGCTGATTTTTATTTTGTCTAATTTCGCATTTTATAGTACAATAATTTTATGACGAGATTTTAAGCGTATCTGGAAGTTCGTTATTAGTGTGTAGAAATGTATCAGATGTGATTGAGAAGCCCTGGTCTAGGTTACCCGAGGATAACTTTTCAAGGGAATCACATTTTCTTTTCTCAACTTGATCTACAAATTCTGAAACCAACGAAAAAAAAATTGATGTACGTTTGATCCTCGGGTAAGTGAAAGATCAATTCTTTTTTATTTATTATTAATTTGCAGTAGTGCGAAACGTTTTCATGTCTTATTTTCGTGGCATTTGAATCTGTTTTTTTCTTCTTCATGAAAACATTGATTGGCAGCGGTTTGACCCATTCTTTGTTTGAGCATGATCCTTTTTGTACACATTGAAAAAATAACAGTAATCGTTGAAGAACTTGGCACAAAATTTGCGTTCTTGAGAAATTATTTTTTTTAATGGAACAGTGCTTCTCTTTTTTCAAACAAGCCATTTCTGTTTTTTTATTTTTATTTTCAGAGTTACGAATTTTGTAGAACCTTTCTTCGCGGTTGGATGTATTCGAGAGAACTATCGTACGCGGAAGACAATAATTTTTTTGAAGACATGCATTGGTGTTCGTCTCTCTTCAATTTTTTGTTGCGGAATTGATTCTTTGATCTGAATAATCTGACTGTGCTGCTGTCTTTGCAAACCTGGTCTCACTCCTCCGAATAAAGGGAGTGTGTTTCTCATTTTTGGAAATTTTTTTTGGTGAAAACTGCATGTATTTTAGCAATTATTGTACCTTGTGTCCCTATGTAAGGTGCACTAATGTCACCTTTACAGTATTTTGACTTGAAATTTCATGATGAAATGGCATTTTCTTGTGAATGATCTGCACCTCAGTTTTCAGTGTCTGGAGATAGCAATATACTGTAATGAACAAACTATCAAAGAATCATGAGTGAATTTAAACTCAAATAGACCTTGTTTCCAATGGCTTTTACATGTTTTCCTTGTTTTCATTAGGACTAAGGGATAAACAAGCTTTGAAAAAGTTGACATTGCTCAGAAATGTTTTCAAAGAAAACCGTGCTGATGTATTTTGTGATGTGTCCTTCACAAAATTAAAAAATAAATAAAAGAACCTTGTGGTACCTGTACTTCAGTAAATACATAAGTTGTGAATGATTTGACAAATTTGTTGATTCCAGGAGGAGACAAGCTGAATATGTTGTTCTCTTAAAATGAATTGATAAAATTGACAATGATTATAGGCATCAATAAGTTGAGTTATCTATTAATTTGGTCTGAAGATTTGAAGGAGAAAATACAGTTCAGGAGTCAATTATTTCTTACTACTACACAAAAAAAACAATCTAAACTTTTTTATGCATTCAGAAAGAAAATTTCCTTATATTAAAGGCCCACATATAATGAACTTTTTAAAAGCGCATTTTTAGATGCCAACCAGAAAATTTTTGTGGTGATTTTGATATGGTGAAGAAAGAGAAATGTGATTTCCAATTTATTTCAACGGGGTCGTTAAATGTCCTTATGAAAATAAACTGGGGCTTGTAATGTATGCATGCGACTGTAAATTGTATCTATACGCAGCTTGGACACGATGCTCATGAAGTATTTTTTTCCAATCAAATTTATGCTACAGTATATATTTCCGGCCAAGAATTGGTGCACTTTAACTTGAACAGCTACCGGCTTTAAATAAGCATCCGCTGTTTTAGTCCTTAATAAACATAAGAACCACGTCTCTACTCTTCAATAACTAACGAGTATCACAAGACGACAAGACATATATGTCGAGCTGGTTAGACTCCGTCGATCTGCAACCATTTTGCTGAACGTGTGCGATTTCATTGGCGTGTATACTGTATATAGTTTAGTCCCATAGCGATATAGGGGTCCTCAACAGAGAAATTCATTCGCAGTTATTTTTTTTCTAATTAATGAATTTGTTTGCATAGGCGATGAGAGAGTGTATATACTGTATCTGCAATAAATTATCCAGGTTCCTTCTGAGATACGCTTTTAATCCCAGTAGGACGACGCACATTAATAATGCTAACGTGAATTTATAAAAGCGCAACAATTCGCTGGATAATATGACAACAATGGAGCAAATACAGTGATGCTGTGTAAGATGGATTGTCATGCAAAGATGACAAAGACAACATTAAAAAAATGAGGATATACACTGTTCACTGTTGCCATATTGTATGTCAACGGCCATACCACGTTGAAAGCACCCGTTCTCGTTCGATCACGGTAGTTAAGCAACGTTGGGCCCGGTTAGTACTTGGATGGGAGACCGCCTGGGAACACCGGGTACTGTTGACTTTTTTCAAAATTTTTTGATTCATTTATAAGCATACAACTGGTTCTCTTACAACATAGCCTGTAGGTTTTTTCATTGACCTCTCTTCAAGTTTTTGCCTGAAATCATTATCATGCCGGATACGATACTAAAATTCCAACGCAAGCGAAAATGATTTCGTCACATTCCCCTTGAATTTTTCGAAACAACTCTAGTTTATGCAACATGCCAGCAGTTATATCGGGTAGGTGGAATTATATTGGATATCAATCAAGAACAGCCTCTGCCTTTATTATGTCCTGAGGATGATAATCACAGATCAACTGGTTTGTGTACTATGATTCACTTCTGTGTTATTTTTATTTATCTGCTTGGTTAAGGCGGAAATTCATTCATGCTACTTATCCGTTGCTGAAAAGTTTTATGATTAACTTGTCTTAATCTGGAAAATTATTGTCCAAGATTTTCTATAATTTTTTCAAAGCGCTAATTCTCACGCCAGGAAAAATCTTCTGGTCACCTTCATTTAATTCAAATTCGAAGGGAATAAAAAATTTTCATTGCACACGTTGGTGTGCAATTTGAATTTTCTGATGCAGTATTCCTTGATCTGTGATTACCATCCTCAGGACCTGGCTGTTCTTGATTGACNAATGAAATCGCACACGTTCAGCAAAATGGTTGCAGATCGACGGAGTCTAACCAGCTGCTGTATATACAGAACAGCAGAACACTATGAGCAATCAATAACTTCTCATCTCTGCACCAAGAATACAAATAATTCCTGATTTTGTCGCCTACGAATAAATTTCGGCCATCGACAAGTTCAATTTCACCACCAATTCTTGGCCGGAAATATATATAACTTACATGTGATTGAAAAAAAAAAAAACTTAATGAGCATGTCCAATTCGTTCTCATTATTTTTCTTCAGCATTCTAAAACCATGTCTGTATATAAGCTCGATTCATCCGCTCAAGTTCATCAAGCTATCCTGTGAAACTGGACACCATCGTTCCTGAAGTACAGTAGGTGTATACTGTGCTATCCGGTGATTTGAGATAGCTTAATCCTAGAATCAATCATCGGCGGGGAGAATCATGACAGAAACCCCCCGAAATGGTAATGGTGAACGGGAATCATCTTCTTCGGCATACGTTAATCTTCGACCACCCGCGAATTGTTGCGCCTTTACACAAATTTACGTTTGCTGTACTATTCGGTCATGGAGAGAAAAGCAGGTGTATATAGACAGGGTTCATTATAGTACAGTACAGCATTTTCAAATCCCTCCATATTGGCATGTATTCCGACGAGGAACCATCCCATGGAAGTGTATATTTGTACTCTACTGTTGAGTCCAGTAGAAAGTGTCTTACGTAATAAGCCAGAAAGTTCTGGGGTCCAGCATCATCATCATCATCAGAAGCTTCATTATTTAACTGCCATCAGTACACAAAAAGTGAAGGGGAAAACAAAATGAAGAAATCTTCGTCCTTCGACACAAGCACGAAATCACAGGCAGAAAGTGCTACACCAAAAAAAAAAAAAAGTAAAGAAGAAAGATGTGTATATAGTGAAGGATAAAATCCGTGTATACCTGTGATGGGGGCATCGGCCCGATGCTCGTCTCTCTCTGTGTCTGTCTGTGAAAACCCCAGGGACGAGGACACAGACAACCATCCCATGACGACATGCAAAAGCCCCCCTTTTTTCTTGCACCATGTCCACTTGCAGAAAATTCAGGTAGGTTTTATATATACGAGTATACAGCATGACCGAGATCGCCATCAACAAAAGGAACAAGGTTGTGGGATGGAGCGAATCCTTTCTCTTTTTCTTTTTTTTTGCTTTTTACCTTGGACCAAAGGGAAAAAAAAAGAAAGGTGATCGAGAAGCCATCTTTCCCGAGACCCTTCTTTCTTTTTTTTTTTTTCTTTCTGGGGGTATAACATCGCCAAAAACGATCGGAAAGTCGCGGCGGAAACTTCCGGTCTCTCGCGCCCATTTTCGCGTCTTGTTTCGTGAATTCCTCATTTGTTTCATTTATTTTGATGGAAGTAAGTATATAGGAAGAGTTTTCTTGTTTTATCTCGAAAACGTTAAAAAATGGAGTTTCCTGTTCAAGGACATAAACTCGTTTCGGATGCCGCATTATTATCCCTTTCAACACGACCTTGTATATTCAGCAGTTTCATTTTTGTGATGGTTATTCTTATTTTGTGTGAGTTCCGAAGAGGGTCGTGAGGATTTTTAATGGTTTCTCGATTCAAAAGTGCACTTCTTCAAGTTTTCTGGAATATATGATGTCAATCCTATCAAATTTCAACGGGAAAGTTTGAAAGAAATTCTGAAAAATGCGAATGATTTAACTTCGGAGACGCTGTCGGAAAGACGTGGATCCTACGTTATTGCAATTCTTGCTTCAATCAGTGATGAGGAATTTGATGATTATGATTCGGTGTATATTCAGCTCGTTTTTGCGGAAAATTTAATATAGTTTTATGGTATAGTATATGAAAGGATTATCTCAGCAGGCGGTGTAATATTTATGTATCTCCGGTTTTTGATCCAGGGAAGTTATTCGAACACAACTTTTGTTATTTACAGGCATATTCTATTTCGGATGACATTTTTGAGGTATTCTGTGTCGAAAAATATGGAGTATTTTGAACAAATCTATCTAGTTTTGTATGTCTTGCTTACTCAAATTTTTTTACGTGGAAGACTTGGAAAGCGAGCGAGTTATTACAGATTATTAATGAGAATGTCGCGATAATTCAAACGATTTATTATTTTGTAATTTATATATGGTGTTTTATGGAGAATTGAAATTTGCATCGATTA